AAGTCTTTTCCTTGTCAAGCATCAGATAGAGGATCAAAGATTATAAATATATTTCCATAGTTATGGATGGACTAGAATTTGGTTCTCCTTGGCTCTATTTCAGCAATTAAATTACTTTCCATTAATGTGCATACAACTAACTTCTTTTAGGGAAAAAAACCTGAAAGGTGGATAGATTTTTCACAGTAATTTGCATTTAATATAAAATAATATTTGATATTATTTTTGATTATTTTAAATTTTGATAATATTTTGATTATTTTTGATTTTTCATACTTTTTAAACATATTTGAAGCATATCATAGTGTACTTGTGAATATGTTTGTAGCTATGGTTTGAAGATGCCCTACTCACTTTTTAGAGGGTATGTCTTCATGAGACAAACTTTATCTCATTGCCAATTTATCATAAGTCAGCTAAAATTAATCCTTAGGAGTTTGTTAAATTCAGTAGTGGTTAAGGTGTTGGGTTAGAAATCAAGAGACTGAGTTCTAGACATGGCCTTAGACATGAAACCCTCCGTCAGAAGGTTATTGTTGTAGGAAAATGGAAAACTATTATTATGTTCACTGCCTTGAATTGTATATGAAAAAAGAAAGGTGTGTGTGTGTGAGAGAGAGAGGGAGGGAGGGAGGGAGGGAGGGAGGGAGGGAGGGAGAAAGAAAGAAATCAGTATCACAGACCTGGTTTCTGCAGAACTATCTGCCTGTATAATATCCAACCTGCACTTTGCAAAAGTATCTTTCAGGCATTGCATGAAGTTTTATGACCACTGATCTTCTTAAAAAGTAGTGTGTTCAATAGTGTTTCAAAGACTGATAGGGAAGGGAGGGAGGAAGGACTCCCAGTCAGTTTAAAAGGGAAATAAACAGTGTAATTTTTGTGCAGGCATTTGGAAGCTGAGTTGAAATTGGCAAGGCTACTTGCCAATTTCCTCTTTTACATCAAGTAGTGTAACTTAATCTATAGGAGATGACCAGGCTGATCCTGAGGGAGAGGTCAAGTGCATCATCAGCCTTGAGACCCTTCACACCCATAAGAGATAGAAGTCCAGCCTACTTTGAATTAAGTTGACTTTTATTTGTTTTGACTGTTAGTAGATCAGATTATTGTCAGGCGTTAAGAAATTAGGAGCCAGAGCTGTTCAAATAAATACAGGTTTATTGCATGCTAACACTCTCTACAAGAATCTGAACTGTTAATGGTCAAAGCAAATTGGTGGTAGATAAGGGTCAATGGAAATCAAGATGGGCTGGACTTAGATCTCTTATGGGTGTGAAGGGACTCAAGGTTAATGATGCTCTTGACCCCTCCCTCAAGATCAGCCTGGTCATCTCCTATATAATTTGATCCTATAAATCAGTGTACAGTGCTAGTCTTATGGAAAATTAAACAAACTTTGTCCAAAAATTGACCAATTGACAGGTCAGTGGGGCTAAGAATGGTCTGAGATGGAATTGGAAGGACCTCTGTCAATGTGCTATATCTTGGTTCACCTTGCACTGTGAGAGAAAAGGAAGGAAAGAGTAGGTCCAAATTCTTTCTTGGATTCCACATTTGGTTGTAGTTATTAGTTGCAAAAGAAGCATAGCTGCCTTTGCTTTCTTCAGTTCAAGAAGCTTGGGACACTCTGAAAACTGAAATTATAAAAGCCCAGTCTAGCATAATACCACAGATGAAACCAACATAGTTGCTTAAAGATTTATCTGATAAACTAAAGGACAGTTTGAAGCTCTTTATTTTTATTTTGTTTTGTTCTGTTTGAAGTAAACTTGGACATACATAACTAAATATGCTCAAACTTTTGTGTTATTGTCTTTGTTATATTGTAATTTTGTTCTCATTCTAGAGATGGAGGAGAAATTCATTTGATCCAAATTTTTATGCAAATCTATTAAGGAACTATGTACCTCTCTCTGCAGTGTTTTTATGATATTAACAACTCAAAAAATACACAAAAATGAAAAAAAAGACAATGTTTGCATAGTTTGCATAGAAAATATACACAGCATTGATTTTCAGCAGGAAAAATACTTAAAATAATTGCATGAGTTGGAAGAAGTGCACAAAAAGAGATATTGAAGAAATGCACAAAAATGTACATTTTTTTGGTCCAAATGCATTTGGAAGAGGTAGTTTTTTTTATTGATGCAGCAAACGAATGAGACTGGAATCAATGGGAAATTGAGAAAATCAACTCTGACAAATTAATCCAGTGGTTCTCAACCTGTGGTCCACAGACCCTTGGGGGACGTCCATGACATTGTCACAGGGGGTCCATGAAGGCTTGATGCAGTCCAGTGCTTTAAAACTTCAGCTAAGCCTTGAATGTCTGTGGCCTTCAAGAATTTACCATGATCCATGGTGAAGAAAAGGCTGAGAACTACTGAATTAATCCATTCCTGAATCTCTTTTAGGTTGACATAGACAAAGATTTATTTTTTATGTGCTGTAGCTCTGACAAGAATCATATATGAGATGTGTTCAGTGGTGGGATTCAAATATGTGAGCAACCGGTTCTCTGTGTGGATGCCGCTTCCGAAAGTCCATTCTTGGCCTGGGCAACAAAAAATTAGCTACCGGTTCTGCCGAAGTGGTGCGAACCGGCTGAATCCCACCACTGCATGTGTTTGAATATTAGCAGCTCGGGTTGGTAGCTGGTTTGTTGGTTTGATCTCCGGGTTTGGTAATCAGGTTGCAAACATTTCATCTTCGTTTGGGGGGACATCGTCAGTGTGGTTTGAATTGTGTTCGGTTTGTTTGGAATGTTGCTTCCGGTATTTCAGTTGAAATAGCTCTCTCGCTCTCAGTGGGTGATAGGCGGGGTCGATGTCAATGTGTCTGTTCACTGATTGGTTGGGGAGAACCAGGCCTCGAGGAATTCTTTTTCTCTCCTTGATTTTGCTTGGGTTATAATTGTCGTCCCAGTTAGATCGAACTTGTGTCCTTCCGAGTCCTCATGGACAGACATGAGGGACAATGTCTTTTGATAGCCAGGGACTGCTCGTGCAGTCTGGTAGATAACTTTTTTCCTGTTTGGCCCACATAGTTCTTTTCATAGTTGTTGCACTGGACTTGGTATATGATGCCTGATCCAGTGCAACAACTGTGAAAAGAACTACATTATGTGGGCCAAATAGGAAAAAAGCTATCTACCAGACTGCATGAGCACTCCTTGGCTACCAAGAGACATGACCCAAAGTATTTCTGTTGAGACAATTTTTTCCTCTAGGAGTGCCTTATTTACAAAGCAAATTAATTTTCTATTTTCAAAATTGTTTCTAGATGTTCAACCCAAGGTCTGCTTTGAAAAGAATTTTTATTTACAGCACATGTAGTTCTCAATTTATGACCACAATTGAGCCTAAAATTGCCATTGCTAAGCAAGATAGTTGTTAAATGAGTTTTGTCCTATTTTACAATCTTTCTTGCCACAGTTATTAAGTGAATCACTGCAGTTGTTAAGTTAATAACATGGTTGTTAAGTGAATCTGGCTTCCCCATTAACTTTGCTTGTCAGGAGGTCGCAAAAGGTGATCACATTACCCTGGGACACTGCAACCATCATGAACATGAGCCAATTGCCCAGCTTTTGATTGTGTGACCATGGGTATACTGCAACACTTGTGTGTTCAGTGCCATTGTAACTTAGAAAAGTTGGATAAATGCTTGTAAATCAAGGATTACCTATATTCTTGAGCCTAATCTATTACATGTTCTCTCTCTCTCTCTCTCTCTCTCTCTCTCTCTGTGTGTGTGTGTGTGTGTATGTGTATGTGTATGTGTATGTGTGTGAGAGAGATGACTTTCTCATTGACGCTGTGCATTTACATTCTGATTATCACCAGACCTGTTGATTTCTGAATATTACAGATGCAGGAGTCGGTCTGTTAAATGATTTAACACTGCATACTTAAAATATATGTATGTTCTCTTTCTGAGGCTATTAAAAGCTTGGAGAATCATTTAGTGCCAAATTAACATCACATGCTTTTCTGCTAATGATAAAGGAAGTTCAGTTATATAATCTCTCTTTCACATGTGCTGCTGAGAAAATATATGGTGCTCTCTAAGTTTGGTTGTTTTCTTGCAGACATTTCATTACCTAACCAGGGAACATTATCAGTGCTAAAAGGGAATGTAGTTTGATCTGTTTTATACAGCTGGCTTTCCCTGTCAGTAATGGTGGAAATATTCTTAATAGTTTCTTGAGTAGATTGTTGTTTATTGTTTGATTGATCAAAGAATAAATAGCCTAATGTCAAGGGCTGAACATTTCCACTCTTCTTTGTCTTAGGTCTGCTTTGAGATCTGATATAACCTGTTGTCTTGAGGAGAGGGCTAAGTATACAGGGATTCAATAGTTTGTGATTGTGCATAGATGTGCACATATATCCATGTATTTTTTTCCTTAGAGGAAAGATGGAGCAGAATTAAAAGAGATAGTTTAAGTGTAACTGGGAGAAATTATAAGAATGGTAAGCATGCAAGTGGAAGATAAGTGAAAAGAAATTCTAATAGTTTGGAGGGATTTCATATCAAGTGGCAGTAGTAATATTGCTACATGCATTTAAAGTTACTGAATCATCTGCATCTATATGAATTGGACCATTTAATCAGGAACCATTTCCTGTTAAAATTTAACTGATAGAAAAAATAGGAGTAGGTAGAAGAGATGGAAGAAATGTTCTTCAATTTAGTAGACAAAAATAAAATAGGCAATCAAAATGCAGACATTTTTGAATCATTCTCAGAGCTGGAAAATAAGTGGCACATGAATACAGTTTGTCTAATTTGCTTCTTGGTGGACCATCTTGTAATATTCATGTTTTTAAGATTCTCAGATTAAAGCATTTTAACTGGATATAAATAGCATTTTACTTTTCACAAAAATCTAACATATCAATAATAAGAAAACAAAGCTTAGGGAGGACAGTGTAAAATCTATTCTTAAGCTGCTATGGACAACTTGTGGAGAACAAAAATCAGTATTTAAGGGTATGGATAAGGTTTGGTACTTTTACTTTAATTTTTTTATTACTACTTCATTCTATACTATTAGATCTAAAATTGTGGATGTTTGCAATCTGATTTTTAAAACTGTTTTTTTTCCTGTTTCTTTCTCCCTTTTCCTTCTTTGTCTAGTGGGAAGAAATTGGTGAGGTGGATGAAAATTATGCACCAATCCACACATATCAAGTATGTAGAGTGATGGAACAGAGTCAGAATAATTGGCTTTTGACAAGCTGGATCTCTAACAAAGGAGCCTCTCGGATATTCATTGAACTAAAATTTACCCTTAGAGACTGTAACAGCCTTCCAGGAGGTCTTGGAACTTGCAAAGAGACTTTTAATATGTACTATTTTGAATCTGATTATGAAGATGGGAGGAATGTGAAAGAAAATCAATACATCAAGATTGATACCATTGCAGCAGATGAGAGTTTTACAGAATTAGATCTTGGAGATAGAGTTATGAAGCTAAATACAGAGGTGAGAGATGTTGGACCTCTGACCAAAAAGGGATTTTACCTTGCTTTCCAGGATGTGGGGGCCTGCATTGCACTGGTATCTGTTTGGGTCTATTATAAAAAGTGCCCTCTGGTGATTCGAAACCTTGCCATCTTTCCTGACACCATCACTGGAGCGGATTCTTCACAGCTACTAGAAGTCTTAGGGTCATGCGTGAACAATTCAATGACTGATGAACCTCCAAGGATGCATTGCAGTGCTGAAGGGGAATGGCTGGTGCCAATTGGAAAATGCATGTGTAAGGCAGGATATGAGGAGAAGAACAACACCTGCCAGGGTAAGGATTTTATGCCAGAAATAGTTTTATTGATCTGTTTGGAAAATAAATATCAATGCTAATGTATGTATGTGTGTATGCATATGTGTACATACAAACACACACATACAGAATGAGAACATCTTACTAGTATAATGAAGGATGGCAGCCTAATTGTTTCTCACATAAATATGCTTTCTTACAATGCCATTGATTGCTACCTCTAACAAATGGGTGACTCAGCCCCACTTACGCAGCTTATAAAGCTATTATCTGCCACTTAGCTCATTAAACTGCATCTGGGAAGGATGGAGCAAAGTAATATTCCAGATTAAATTGTGCATGTGATGTCTATGCTCCCTTTCTTTTTTTGCTCAGTTTTGCTCCCTTTCTTACATGACTATAAAGGGTTTATAGTGGCCGATGTGGTCCTAAATCCGTAAAGAACCTATCGTCTATTTTTGAGTGGAGGCATTTTAATAATTGAGACACCATAGTACAAATGTAATGATGTAGACAATGTACATATATCTGCAAAACTGTCCTAACTTGTTTTATAATTCAGAATTATACATACTATGTCTAAAATAACTTCTAATCAATTTGCAAATATATATTCCAATTGGTACTATGTACTTTGTGTACATAGGATTAGCACTATGTATTGTGAAATATGTTCTAACTGCAAAATAGAGTATAGAAATGGATGAATGCAGTAAAATATAGATGTGACTTTTATAATTTGCAGGCAAGCAGCAGTATACCCCTTTAAAATCTTCCTGCCTTTACTGATGTGGTAGATATGCAGACATCAATATAAATTTAAAGACAGCTATTGTATCATGATATAAAAATTTAAATTTATGGACACTGGGCTTCAGACTTCTGTAACTTAATGTATTCTACTATCACCGAAGCGATCTCCAACTTTATTAACTCTGGATAAAAATATGGCCCAGAGTTGGATTATGAATTATTTATGGGTATCATCATGTTTATAATTGTAATTTTCACAGGATGAACAAATCTTTGTAGCCTTTGTATAATTAAGGGTTTAGGAACATTACATTATTTTCAAAATAGTATTTTATATAATGGCATGCAGGGCACGGCAAGGCAAGGCAAGGCAAGGCAAGCCAAGCTGTATTGTCATTTTTCACTATGAGCACATTGGCTCACATTAAAAATGATATCCAATCACTGTCCATTTTGAATACATAGCGGAAAAAGGCAACTTGAGAGTTCACAAGGTTGATGCTATCTGGAACAAAACTGTGCTTGAATCTGGATGTTCTGCTTCAGATACCACGAAGCCTCCTCCTTCACAGGTTGTGAAGAGGATGTGTAGCATCCCAGACAATACTGCAGACTTTGCTCAAGCATCACTTGCTATGTCCTGGGTAGAAGGAAATGAACTGCTAATAATCTTTTCTGCCATCCTCACCACTTTCTGCACTGCTTTCCTGCCTGAAGCAGTAATGCTTCCAAACCAGACAGTAATGCAATGTGACAGGATTGTCCCTCTGTAGAAAGTGGTAAGGATAGGGGAAGGAAGATGTGTTTTTCTCATGCAACACAGAAAATGCAGGTGTTGCTTTGCCTGCTTCACCAGTGTCTTGCTGTTGAGCGACCAAGCTAGTCTACTAGTTAGTTGCACACCCAGAAACTTGATGCTGCTAACTACCTCCACAGGGAAATTATTAATACACAAAAGTGTATGGTTGTGCCTGCTTTTTCTGAAATTGACAATAATCTCTTTAGTTTTTCCTATGTTTAAAACGAAGCTGTTACACCAGTTCACCAAACCCTCTACTTCCTTGTAGTAAGCACCCTTATTGTCATCTTCAATAAGGCGTACTACTGTTGTATCATCTGCATATGTCAAAATATGGTTGGTGGCAAACCTGGCCCAATAGTCATGGGTCAACAGGATGAACAACAGCTGAGGAGAACCTGTGCTCAAGAAAATGGTGTTAGAAATATTAGTCCTAATTCGCATATACTGGAGCCTGTCAATAAGGAAATCAATAATCCAGTTGCACAAAGGAGTGTTGAAGCCTAAAAGGGCCAGTTTGTCTACTAGATGCTGAGGAATGATTGTATTAAATGCCAAACTGAAGTCAATAAACAGCATTCACATATGAGTGTTTCTTTCCTATAAGTGCACCAAGCTCAAATGGAGAACAGAAGAAATAGCATCCTCTGGAGAGCAATATGGACAGTAGGCAAACTGAAGGGAGTCAAATGCTGGAGGGAGGCTGGATGAAATAGCATTATGATGCTTCATGTGTTAAACATTAAAAAGTTCATGAACATTCATATTGGGTTTTTTGCAGAAAAATCAATTTATTAATGGTGAATTATCTCCAAGTTGCTCTGTTACATGTAAATTATCTTCTGTAATTAAAAAAAAGAAAAGAAAGCTGATAAATGCCAGAAAAATTTGGGGAATTCATAGTCACAAATTGAGATTTATCAGCTACACCAAAAGAGATGATGAAGAGGATATAAAATATAAGCACTAACATTTTTACCAGGTTAGATTTTTTAAAATCTTTTTTAAATAAATAGTGTTGAAATTCTTGCTAATCCTCATGAAGATATGGCAGCAATTATAGTCTGTTTTGGCTAAAGCTGTTAAGTGATAGTGATGTGCTCAATCCATCATTTTGTTGGCAGTGCATTTGGAACAGGAAACTGGGCAAACTCTATGATTCAAGTCAGTACATGTGGCATGGAGCAAATCTCGTTATATGATTACCTCTATTTTTTAACAAAGCAGGTCATCATAGTACGGTTGCTTAATTAAGAGAAAAAATGTATTTGTGCTGGTTTTCCATCACAATCCACTTGTATTAGTATAACTTGTAAATCTATTTAAACTAGCAATGAACTGTTATTAATATAAGGAAGTACTAGTAATTATCGATATAATTTGTCTATTTTTAATAGAAATTAAATGTAGTTTCTATATTGGGGCCTGTGTTCTTCAACATCTTCATAAATGATCTAGATGAGGGGATAGAGGGGGAGCTCATGAAATTTTCAGACAACACCAAGCTGAGAGGAATTGCTAACACTCTGAAAGATAGACTCAAGATTTAGAAAGATCTTGACAGACTTGAGTATTGGGCCCTATCCAACAAGATGTAGTTCAGTGGTGAGAATAGTCAGGCCCTGAATGTAGACTAGAAAAACCAAATGCCCAGGTGTAGAATAGGCAATATCTGGCTCAACTATATAGTAGTTGAGTAGTAACTGCGTGAGGGACCTAGGTGTCCTGGTGGATCACCTCTTATATATGAGCCAGTAATATTCTGCAGCTGCCTAGAAAGCAACTGCCAAAAAAGCACACCTTGGCGACAGCAGCAGAGAGCATCAAGATCATGAGACATGATTGTACCACTTTATATTGAACTACTGAGGCTACACTTGGAATACTGCATCCAGTTCTGGTCACCGTAATACAAGCAGATGTTGAGACCCTAGAAAGGATGCAGAGAAAATCAACAAATATGATAAGGAGTCTGAAGGCTAAATTGTACAATAAAAGTTTGAGGGAATTATGTTTAGCCTAAAGAAGAGAACAATATTTAGCCTAAAGAAGAGAACAATTAGGGGTGACATGATAGCTGTCTTCCAGTATTTGAAGGGCTGTACAGAGAAGAGAGGGTTGACTTATTCATCAAAGCACCTGGATAAGGAGAAGAAGCAAGGGTGGAAGCTCGTTAAAGAGAAATCCAACCTAGAAGTAAGGAAAATTTCCTGACAGTGGGAACAGTTAATTCATGAACAGCTTTCCTTTTGAAGTTATGGGTGCTCATCACTGGAGGTTTTCAAGAAATGATTGGGCAGCCATTTGTCTGAGATAGTTTAGGGTCTTCTGTCTTCAGCAGGGGCTGGGCTATGAAGACTCTAAGATCCTTTTCAGCCTTATGATTCTACTCTACTCCATTCCACTCCAATCCACTCCACTCTATTCCCCATCCCGCATTCCCCATTCCTATTCTTGCCTATGCCTATGCCTATTCTATACTGTATTCTATATTCTCTACAGTAGTCCTCGACTTACGACCATAATTGAGCCCAAAATTTCTGTTGCTCAGCGAGACATTTGTTAAGTGAGTTTTGTCCCATTTTATGATTTTTCTTGCCACAGTTGTTAAGTGAATCACTGCGCTTGTAAATTAGTAATATGATTGTTAAGTGAATCTGGATTCCCCATTGACTTTGCTTGTCAGAAGGTTGCAAAAAGCTGATCATGGGACTCATAAATATCATAAATAAATAAAATAAAAAATAAGAGTCAATTGCCAAGCACCTGAATTTTGATCACATGACCATGGGGATGCTGTAATGGTTATACAGTAAATGTGAAAAATGATATAAGTCACTTTTTTCAGTGATGCTGTAACTTCGAACGGTCACTAAATGAACTATTGTAAGTTGAGAACTACCTGTATTCTCTCCCTCTCCCACTCTATCTCTCTCCCTATTCTAGACTTAACATTAGAATCAATTTCTTTGTAATCTAATTCCCTGATTATTGTTCTGTCTTCTGTAAGGACTTTGCATAATTCTTTTTTCCTTGCAAATTTCTCTTATCTAGGTTTAATATATACAGTGTCTTCACCTCCTTGCCCTAGTTTTCTTTTCTGCATATCATTTATTAGTTCCTTAGTGTAGTCTGAATAAGAAAGAATAAAGAGAGTTACTTGCCTTAATCTTGACATTTTGCTTCTATTGACGCAGCCTAGGATTGCATTCATTCTTTCTGCAATTGCCTCTCACTTTGGGTTCATATTCACTTTGTGATCACTAAGATCTTGAAATCTCTTTTGTAGGTTGGTTGGTTATTTATTTATTTATCAAACTTGTATCCTGTATCCTGTAATCACAGGAATATTCTTACATGGTAAGAATATGCAATGGAGTATGAAACGTTGACATAGGACAAATGAATCCTCCACACAGTGCATGGCATCAGACCCCAAAAGGCCTCTGGTAAAGCTCTGTCTTCG